GCGATTGGGGGAAGGGCCAATGCTCCGGTTCTCTCTGGATTGATTGGATCTTTTGATCAGGGTTCCTGATTGCAATGGCCAGCTCTTTGGCTGGTGGCTGCCGGGTTCTGGCGGGAGGGTCGGCTGTGGTTGTGTGTGTGTGGTCGTTGGTGGTGTATGGTGGTGGTTGCGGGCGTGGCTTTGGTTTGACAGGGTGCTGGTTGGTTGGCTTGATGTGACATTGTGGTGGGGGGTACTGTGTGTGTGGGGAGGTGCATGGGTAGCATTCCGGGGCCTCGCCGGGCCTGTGGTGTGGGGCTGTTGGGGTGCCTGATCATTGGTGCGCTGAACCGGCCTTCCTCAGCTGCTGCTCCCTGCTGCTCTGGCCCCCGGCCTGGGACCGACGTGCGGTCGCTGTCGGGTGGGGTGCATGAACAGCCCGACATAGGCTCTGTTGGGCTGTGTCTGTGTGCCTGTTTATGTCTCGGGTTGGGTTTTAGGTGGTCCCCTCTCTTGGCTCAATTTGGGCCCCCCATTTAATGTGGGGTCAACTTCCCCCTGTTGTGCTCCCCTCTGGTCATGGGCCCCCCTGCCGCCGGTGCATTGGCGGCTCTCAGCATCTGGGGCTAGGTGGTGGGGTGTGTGCAGTCCCGCCCTGGTGGCTGCCTGCCGGGGCCTGGATGCCTTGGCTCTGTCTGGCCTCTGTTGGGGGGTGGTATGACCTCGGGACTCGGTGTCCATGGCCGGATCTACTCTGGAGGGGCGAGTTGTCGGCGGGGCCTGTGGACTCGTCGCTGCAGCCTCCTGGGGTTTCTGCATTGTGGTTGCTGGGGATCGCCCGGGGCTTCCCTTTGCTTCTCTCTATGGGGGGTGCGGGTGTCTCTGTTGGAGGACTTCCAGAGCTCCAGGCTTGGGGACCGCTGTGTGTCTGTGGTTCCGGTCTTCCCTGTGTTACCATCGTGCCCTGTGGGGACGATTCTGTGGGTCCCCACATCCACTATTGAACATTTTTATGGAGAAACCTTGTAGTGACAAACATGCTCACATCGGTGTTTAGATTCAGGAGTTTATCAGATACACACTCAGTTGGGTTGTGGAGACCACTAAATATATCTTGTATTAACATGTACTGTATGAAATACTTTCTAATGATGTTATGAGTATCATTATATATGTTGTTTGTTGTTGTGGTTTCTCGGTTTTGTCTTGTTTTTTTTTGTTTTTTTTCTGTAGGTCTAGAGGCAGACTTCAATGATGTTGATTTGTGTTCTCTTTATACCTCTCTCTCTCTCCTTTATTCCTATCTCCTTCTTTACCTTTTAACCCTTCTCTCACTTTTCTGCTTTGTTTTTTCTTTGTTTTTCATCCCCATGAAAAAGGAAAAAAATGTAGATTTCATTACATCCATTATAATGTGTTGCGACTGATTAATTTGACTCGAGTTGCTGTAAAAGGATTGGCTGAACAACTAACACCCACTTCCCTTTTGAGTACAGGGGGGAGTGTGTGCTATGTTTGGGAAATAATGTTGTCCTTTACTCAGGCAATAGAAGGCCTAATGCTTAGTCTGAAACAATGCATGAACACTCAGATAAAGACAACCCTTGGATGGTTTGCTGACTGGACATTTTGGTAAGTGGGAATGTGCAGTATTGTCTGTGTTCATGTATGACATTTTTGTTTGAAGAAACTGGGGATGTAGGGGGTTTGGACAGGATGATTTAACTTACATTTATGTTAGTCTGTGAAGGATACTGAGCGGACTGTTGAGAGGAAGGGGGGGTAAGTTAGGTACATTTGTATGTGTGGTGATTTAGGTGATTTCTATGACCTGACTGTTTGTATTCTTGTTTGATCATTACTGTTCATACAGGTCCAGTGCTTGTATTGTTCCATGCAACTGACATATAATAACAATACGTCCTCGATGCTTAGACACTACAGAGCTAAGCATGAAAGCAAGCAGGCGAACACCGTTCATGGTAGGTTATGTTCAATATATATGTTTATATATGTTTATCAATATATATGTTTATCCACACAATTCTTCACTTCACCAATTGCTCTCACCGAGATCGGATGTTTCTCCCCTCCCTCTCCGCTTTGCTGCTCTGTCTCTCTGTGAAACTGCTTGTGAACCTCTCTTGCATATCTTCCGAACCATAATTATGGACTTGTTTTGATCAGTTGGTCCCTCAACTCAATTTACAACATTTCTTCAAAGAGAAGACAGGCTTTAGGCGAGCCGATTTACCCTGTTGGCACGCACACAGCTGGATGTCAATGAGATATTGACTGGAAGACTTGATGATGTATCTCTGCTGCCATTTGTGGATTTTAAGGATGCATATTTAATTGGATTTTCGATAACTGGTTCCTGCTTTTTGGATTTGGATGGTTGCTAGTTTTATCTACAATCAAGGAAGTTGTCGGCAGAAAATTTGGAGCCGATGACACTGCTTGCCTTTATGATGGCTTGGTTCTTGTCTCGAGTACCCGGTCTCAAATGCTTTGGGCTGAATAGATCAGATCTTGGGGATTTTACGCAGTCACATTCCATCGGTGTGGCCATGTAATTTGGACATTTCGGAACCGAGCCGACCAACACAGACTCAAGGTAGATGTCATTAAGTTCTGCCTGTCCCCAAAACAACTGTGTTTATTGAACTTGGCTCCCTTGGCTGGCCTTGAAGGCCATCTTATCTGAATTTGCCTGGAGAACATGTGATCTGATGCTCACTACCCCCTCCCTGAGGAATTTCTAACTGATAACCAGATGAAACCAGCTGAATAAACTTGTGTCATCATTTCAGGACTCTTGGATTCTCATAGACGTTATTCTTGGCCATTCCTCGACATCCCTCGAGAATGTTTATGGATCTCAGCGGAGGACATTGGCTGATTATTGCATCCTAATCAGAACTCTTACAGTGACCTTGAGAGCATCTATGAACATTGCTGACCGCTCTCGTCTCCCCCGTCTGCAGAATGTCTACGTCAATATGTGCTTGTTTGTGCAAGTTTTTTAATATTAGAGTTTTTTTTCCTCTCAGGCAGGAAAAAAAAAGTCTGATATGAATTTTTTTTTTGCCTCCAACTCCTACATGTGTCCAGTTAACCATTGTTTTTGTCTGTCCAAACAGGTCTCACTTGTAAATGAGTCTTTGAGGCTCAGTGTGATTTATCTGTTTAAATAAAGGTTGAATGAATGAATGAATGAATGAATTCTACACTCCATCCTCCACAGATAGTTGTAATTTGGTAATTACGTACACACACACACACACACACACACACACACACACACACACACACACACACACACACACACATACACACACACAAACACACACAAACTTGTCTGTGTTCATGACTGTCAAATCTTTATTTTTCTTTCAGCTTCCAACCTTTGGACAAGTTTTGATCGAGATGCTACACTGGCAAGAGCTCACAGGAATCAGACATCAGATGCCACAATTGAAGATCAGAGATACTTGTCTGATCCTTCCTTGCAAAGATCAGAGGAACCTCTGGCCTACTTGAATGATCACATAAATGTTTATCCACATTTGTTCTTGTTGGCTAAACAATATTTATGCATACCAGCCTCATCTGTTCCTTGTGAACATGTTTTTTCAAAAGCTGGAGAAGTTGTCAGCAAAAAAAGAAATCACCTGAGTCCAAAAACAGTGGAAAAACTCTTATTCCTAAATAAAAACCTCTGAATTCCCATTCCCAAATTTCATGACTGTCTGAGTTACACAAGCACAAAACACCTTCCCTGTACCTATTGTTTCCTAAAGCACATCCTCTCTCAATCCCAGATACCTGTACTAGTCAACATAACTACTTAATCAGCTACACATATATTGACAGTTCACATCCTGAATAGAGAGGAACAATGGTTTGAGGGAGGAGTAAAGGAGACCATCTTTGTGACAAGAAATTTTCCATCATTAAACATGGGCGGAGGCCTCCGTGTTCAACTGTCCCCCTCTTACAATGCTGTGATTGCTAGTATCACTCAGCCCCTGGTGAATAACAAACAGCCATCAGTGTGTTAATGATCCATCGTTAGGCTGATAGTCCTTCTTGATCATGTGAGCAGCTGGTTTTGCCTGTCAGCAGCAAACTGGTTGATCCACTCTGAGAAGGTGCTATTTATAAGACTGAGCTGAATACAGCAACTCAGACTGAAGAAGTCTTTCGGATGAAAGACGAAACGTTTCTACATTTTTTTCTTTTGTTTGTTTTGCTTTGTTTTGTTTTTTGAATGTCCAGAGGACCAGACTTAACTTTTTTAGATTTTTCTACCTGAATTATTGAACATGCATCATGATATATATTGACAGTTTTTGTTGTCTACTCTTTCACCACTAGATGCCACTGAAATGAACCGTTGAATGAATGAACCCAAGTTCAATACAATTGACCGTGGTTCAATACTGCTTTATTGCTTAATTTGGCCATCACTATCAAAAAGAGTCAAGGTATGTAGCTCCCAGGGGGTAGGGCTCCCAAGTGTTATAAGGGAGACACATTTCCTTCATTCCTCTGAACTGGTTCCGGTCTGTCCAGCAGCCCACTTCTCCAGAACTGCTTGTTGTATTCTATGCATATATCTGTTTGTGAAAAGTTGTTAAAGCTGAAGGAAGCCTGGTCTTTCCCTCTGATCAAACCAATCTGAGAAGAAAGACACAGCACTCGTTCTTAACAGTGGTTAGAGCAGTTGTCCTTCATTGCAAGAGTTGAGGGTTCGATTCCACTAGCAGTCACATGCTGAAGGTTCCCTGGGCAATACGCTGAATCCCTCATTGCCTTCTATGTGTGTCCCATCGGTGTATGAATGTGATAAAGCACTGATTAGTCTTTGTATAGATATAGTAGAGTGCTCTATGAATAGGTAAATGAGGGCACAGATTGTAGTATAAAGTGCTTTGTGATAAGATAGAAAGGTGCTATATAAGTACAGTCCATTTACTTTCTGGGTTCTTAGTAAAATGTTACAATTTCAGACTTACTTTTGCAGTGAAACACGTTTGTGGCTCCGTCAAAGTCGGTCGTGGTGTTCCCAGGGCATGTGATGCAGAAGTTCTGACCAAACTCAGACTGGTAGGTTCCTGCTGGGCAGCGTATGCAGCGATGGTTGCTGGAGTTGTAGTAATGTCCAGGAGCACAATGAACTGAGAAAACAAAGGCAGTCAACTCATGAGCAAAACATTAAATGGAGGGGCGAAACGTTTCTTTTTAACAAAAAAACGGTCCAGATGACAT